TCATTATTTTTATTGTTATTATTTTCTTGAATGCTATTTCAGATATTGTGTGGTTTTATCATAGGGGTAATTGTTGTGAGGCCCAGTAGTGGTATATATGAAAATATTTTGTACATAAGGTTTTTGCTTTCTCTATAATTATTTGAGGTGGGTACATTTTGTTTTCAAATATTTTACTATTCCAATTTTCCAAATAAACCATAGAGTTGTACCAACTTTTTATCATCGCTATTAGATTTAAAAGTTCTCTTTCACCATTTTTGAATTTCCTCATTCTCCATTAGGTTAAATTTTCAATAATCATCCCCACTCTAACTAGTTTTGTCATTGGGCAATAAAAAAATATGTTTTAAACTCTCTTCTTCGTCACATGAGGGACATCTCGAGTCTTGACTTATGCCCCACCTTTTGAGCCTATCTATCATCATTAACTTTTTGTTTGACACTAGGTATACAAAATAATTAATTTTTGGTGGGCATTTTGGTTCCCAAGTATCTAGTATTGTAGAGTTTCTTTTAGTGTCTCCATTCCCTGCTTGTAAATCATATGTTGATTTTACTGTAAATTTTCCTTTGTGTCGGATATCCATGTCATTTCATCATGTTTCAAGTTTGAAGGGATGGGCATGGTTTTCATTTTCTTCATAATTCTTTTGGTACTTCTTGTAGAATTTTCCTTTTATTCTATTTTTTATTTTCAATAAAATTTCTAAGATGGTTCTTTTTCCTTATTGGTATGGTTTCTATCTTCTTTGATAGGGTTATTTCCAACCCAAGTGTCAGTTCAGAACTTAATAGATTCCCTATTTCCAATTTTCCATCCTATACCCTTTTTAATAGCTTTCTATGTTCTAAAACTCCTTTTCAAGCCCTATATATATATATATATTATAACTTTCCATCCTAATTTGTTTATACAAGACTCATTCATCCATTTCATGTTCTTCACCCTCATCCTCCTTTTGATTTTAGATAATAAATAGTAGCACACTTTACCAAATTTATTGTTTTTACTATGTCTCTCTCAAAGAAAATTTCTTTGCTTCTTGTTGATTTTTTCAATTATCCCCTTTGGTAGATTGAAAGACCTCATTAAGAATTGAGGAATGATGCTAATGGTTGATTTTCCTTGCCTGATCCCCACTCCTGGGAATAAAGTTGCTTGTTGGAGATCCATTCACCAAAGGCACTATGGTGATGCACTGCATGGTCCAATCCATTTCTCATGGAATAATGCAAATTTCTTTACATTTTCCTCTATGAAATTCCATTATAGCATATTGTAAGCTTTGTCCATGTCAATTTTATAGGCTATTACTCTTTGCTTAAATTTGTCTTTTTCATGCTATTCGTCATTTTAATAGCAATTAGAATGTTGTAAAGAGAATGAAAATTCAACTACCATATTGCAAGGGATGATAATTAATACCCTGATGTAGTAGGCATGTTAGGAAAGCACATTAAGTAAGTACCTAATAGCTGTGTGATACCTACCCCAGCTATTAGGTGTCTTACGTCCAAACGTTTTTGTTCTGTTAGGTGTTTATCTATTATTTTATTATTTGTGTAAAAAAAAAGAAAAACCTATCCTAATTAATGCGCCTTTCTCTCCATCTCCAACCTTCTGTCGTTTAGGGTTCTTCCACCTCTAGACCTTCAACCGTTGCAACTGGTTGGTTGGGGCAGCAATTCTTGAAGCTCTCACCTGTGATTTCATCTCTAGCCATCATATTCTTCATTCGTGGGTTCTGAACTTCTCCCACCTCTGGACCTTCAGCCGTTGCAACTATGAATCAAAAAAGACATAATTAATTCTAACAAAAAGACATGAATCAATTTTCTAGGAATATGCATAAACTATTCTAACGAATTGATAGAGTTAATACAAGTGTTTCTACTTAGAGGTGTAAATCGGGCCATGCCGCTCACAGCCTAACACGACCATGTGGGTCGTGCTGGGCCTAGGGTTTTAGGTCCACAGGCCGGCACGACCGAGCGGGTCATGCTGCCCGTGGCCAGCGGGCCGGCACAACCCAAATATATATTTTATATATAGTTATCTAATATTATATAAGTTATAACTATATAATAATATATAAGTATATAATGTATTAATAAAATAAATATTTTTCTTTAATTTTATTATATTAATTTATTTAATTATTGGCTTATTGCATATATAAGCAATTTTATACACAAAATTCATATAAAATTAAAATTTTAAGTTTTTCGTCATTCTTTTAAATAAATAGCTTTGGCCTGATGCACGCCCGACCTGGCCCAAGGCTCGGCCCACGGGCCAGCTTGGCTTGTGGCACGACACGGGCCCACACAAGCCCAGGCCATGGGTTGTGTCGGGCCGACCCCCAAAATTTTCACCAGGGAGGCAACACGGCCCGCACTTTGCACGAGCCGCCCATGGGTCGTGCCGTGCCCACTTTACACCTCTATTTCTAGTTACAAATTTATGATAATCGTGTAATTCTCTTGCCCTTTTGCACCCTAAAAAGCAATGCCCGTAGCAGAAGTTCAGAATCTGTGAATGAAGAATACGATGGCTAGAGATTGAATGAATGGGTTTCTTGAGATGAAATCTCAAGTGAGGGCTTCAAGAACTGCTGCCCCAACCAACCAGTTGCAACGGCTGAAGGTCCAGAGGTGGGAGAACCCTAAACGGCAGAAGGTTGGAGATGAAGAGAAAGGCACATTAACTAGAATAGGTTTTCCTTTTTTATTTTTTTTACACAAATAATAAAATAATAGATAAACATCTAACAGAACAAAAACGTTTGGACATAAGGCACCTAATAGCTAAGATAGGTGTCACACAGCTATTAGGTGCTTACTTAATGTACTTTCCTAACATGCCTACTACATTCAGACCCATAGAGAATTGGCTTAACTGGTACATTAACTAGTTTGTTCTAATAAAGACGCTGATTCATTTTGCTGCTACCACTGACTTTGGGGGATTCATGCATGTCACAAACACGAGAAAAAAACCAAATATATAAAGATTAAAAATATTTAGACAACTATTCTTTACAAGCATTAACATGGATCACATGATTCACATCATTAAAATATTTGTTATTTAACTGTTATATATGGCGAGGGTGTTTATAAAGACAAACTAGTTGAATATTTGAGGTTATAGTAATCAACCCGAGTTTTGCTTCAACTATCAATGAATTCACAGCCTCCTAAAAAAGGTTATAGCTTTTCGAGATATAGTGGACATTTACTTCTATTGATGACTACTAGAAAAAGTTATAACATTGCCAAATGCTCTTTTCTATGCCTACATCCGGTATCAATTAGTCAATTGTATATCTAGTGCTTTCAATGGGTCGGGTTTGGTCCAAATAAGGTAAGCCCAGCGACAAATTATCAATTGGGACTACTGGATTTGACCCAACAAGACCTAATTATAATTAATATCTCTATTTTTTTTTTAAATTTGAACTTGACAAAAATACTCCAAATTTGTTAAATTTGCGCCCATGTTAGTTCAAGCCTCTCTCTCGCTGTTTCATTTAGGGTTCTGGTATTCTGATGTATTTCTTTCTTTACCGTCGATAGAGACGTTCGATAGAGGACTAATGAATGGAGAAGAAGATAGAGGGAGATGATGAACAATGCTACCTGTTAGTCCGAACTACTGTCTCCGGCTGTTTTTCCCATTATTTTTTCATATATAAAACTAGACAATGGTAGTGTAAATTTTTATACTTTTTCATTCCATCTTTTTCCATTCCACCCAAATCTTCCCACAAACCAAACAAAACCTAAGGAAAAATTTATTATGCCATAAAGACATGGTACTGGAATAGCTTTATGAATTATAATAAATACCACCTGATTGGTTATCATGGTTATGATAATGAAACTAGTTAATTGGTCACAAGTTTTTTAAATATAATCATTTTTTCAATTAATTTATTCATAAAATATAATATTAAATCATTTTTAATTCATTTTAGTAATACAATATAACCTTTATTTAATTTTGTTTATACCATTAATTCTCGTATTTCAATGCAAAATTGAAATAAATCTGATGCCATTCGAATTGGAATAAATAAACGAATCAATTAAGATGTAGCTATATCCGATCCGATTCGATCCATTTAGCAACCCTACAATACAATATCAGGTGTGAGACGCGGAGATTAGCATGCTATTATGCTTATAAAAGCAATAACCTAGTCAACACGCAATCAACTTCCAAACATTCCATTTTTGCTAAAATGTGTGGTGTCAAAAACGGGCTTCTACTGTTGACCTGCTGCAAGTGGCAACTTTTTACGATGTGATTGTGAATTGTGATCCACCACTGAATCTGTGATTAATACATCAAACTGATCCCTCTCCTAGATTTGCTTCCGTGAACTGATCTGGACCGTAGGATCGGGATCGATTTTAAGTCAGTGATAGGGTTAAAAATTGATTTAAATCTGATAAAAACATTATTATAAAATGGATTGTATCATTGGCATATGTATCCCGGGCCCATATAGGCAGCCTCCTTTTAATAATCCCCTAATCGGACGGCCAACGTTTTTTTTTATTTGATGAAAAATTGAAAACCAGATTAGCCTATTACTACAATCTGTCAATCAGCGGGCTGGCAGATTTTTTTTTGGGTTGGGGACCATTGAAATTCCAATAATAAATTCCCAACCCAACCCGAGTACCCGACCCAATTCACAGACGCCCTTCTCGAAATCAGCTTGTTAAGAGATGATCATTTTAGGCTAACTTCATTTTGTTTTACTGTGAGACTGTCCTCTTGAACATTTGGATTGGAATCTATCATGGACCCACATTTACGTTTTTCCAATCCTGCTGTCTCTGATGCACCTTTCACTGAGGTCAAGATGCACTGGATAATTAACGTAGGGTGTTGAGAATCTAGGGAATACTGACAGTCAGAACTCGGAAGGATAGTCTTGATCTTGAATCTATAAATAAGATTCCATGGATCAAACCGTCAGACATTTCTCAGTTCAAACATGGCAAGCCTGAAAATCACCAAAAAGCATCACAAACGCCTCAACAACCCTTTCCCACGTCCACCCAAAACTTTTCCTCTCATCCATGGAAGTCTGTTCTTCAATCATCGAGCACTCCCTGCAGAACAGATCTTCCGGGTTGGCAAGGATTTCTGGCTTAGTTGGAGCTCAATTCATGGCGGTTATCTGTCTATATCTCACCACTCTCAACCCACCAGGTCCATCTGGTCTACCGTCCCTGGACAAGCCTTTGTTTCTGCAGCAATTGCAGACACAGAGGCGGAGGAAAGTAGAGGTTCGTTTGTTATAAAAGATACAAATGCTCATTTGATCTGTAACCATCAATATATTGATGAGATAAGGGTGGTAAACCAATCTGAATTCGCTGACGATAATTACCATGATTCTCCATTTGGGTTTTGGTCAATGGACAAGAAACCAGATTTCAAGGACACCCATTTCCCTGCTTTGCTCATAACTGGTTGGGTTTTCTGTCAAAAGAAGAAAAAGAAGCAGCAAGAGCAGTTTCAGTTAGAGAAACTCATAATTCATGGAGCTGTAGATTTGGAGATGGAGGGGCATTCCATTTCCGCTGCAAGGTATTGGGTTTTGTTTGATCAGAAAAACAGTGATCAAATTGGGTTCGAAGTGAAATTTGGAAAACCCAATTTCCAATTGCACCCAAGAGCCTCGACAAAAGTTCCAAGAGGCTTGAAGGGTTTCAGGTGGAGGTTGGGCCGTCTTAGAAAACGTCTCGAGTGGTTTTGGTCCCTTTCAAGACCAAGAGGTTTCATTGCAGTAATTCGTTCAGAGGATGAAACAGAAGACGAGAAGGCTCGAGAATTCCCAGAGTTCAACAGAGTTTTTATGACTTATGCAAGTGACAGAGATGAGAAGTTCTATGGTTTCGGGGAGCAGTTCTCTTACATGGAGTTTAAAGGTAGAAGAGTACCCATTTTTGTTCAAGAGCAGGGGATTGGAAGAGGAGATCAACCCGTTACTCTTGCAGCTAATCTGGTTAGCTACAGGTATGCTCAATGGAACCCTAGTTCTCGATCAATTAATTTTATTTTATTTTTGTTTAAATGTATCCTTCTATTTTTTCAAGAGCTGGAGGTGACTGGAGTACGACTTATGCACCTTCCCCATTCTATATTACGTCAAAGATGAAGTCCCTTTACTTAGAAGGATATAGCTACTCCGTTTTTGATCTAACTAGACTGGATAGAGTCCAGATAAAGGTAATTTTTTGAAGTTAATATATCTTATCATGTTCTCTAGGGAATTCTAGTCTCACATAGTCTGTTTGTTTTGTTATCTCTTTCAGACACATGGTGATTCCTTGCAAGGTAGACTACTCAATGGGAATTCACCCACTGACCTGATCGAAAAGTTCACAGAGACTATAGGGAGACCTCCTGAACTTCCAAACTGGATCATCTCGGGAGCTGTGGTTGGAATGCAAGGTGGGACAGAGGCAGTTTGCCATGTTTGGGACAAACTAAAGGATTATGATGTCCCCATTTCGGCATTCTGGTTGCAGGTAGTCTTCTAACCTACATACAGGTTAATATGCATAAGTGAATCTGTACTCTAAAATTGTGTCATCTTGCGGCCGATCTCGTGTAGGATTGGGTGGGGCAGAGGAAGACAGTAATTGGATCTCAGCTCTGGTGGAACTGGGAAGTTGATACAGATCAATACAGGGGATGGCAACAACTAGTGAAAGATCTAGGTTCAGAGGATATTAAAGTGATGACTTACTGCAATCCTTGTCTAGCTCCTGTAAATATTTTGCCCCTCTTTTGATACTCGAGTGATCTAACGGTTTTGAAATGGTGAGTTTGTGATTGTATGCCAATCATTTACTGTTACAGGTTTATACTAAATTAAACAGAAGGAGAAACTTATTTGAGGAGGCAAAGAAGTTGGACATCTTAGTTAAATACAAGAATGGAGAAACATACATGATTCCAAATACAGCTTTTGATGTGGGGATGTTGGATCTTACACACCCTGATGCCTCGTGTTGGTTTAAGCAAATCTTACAGGAGATGGTGGATGATGGGGTTAGGGGATGGATGGCAGATTTTGGTGAAGGCCTTCCACTAGATGCATCCCTCTATTCAGGTATGAAGCTTAACTTATTATTTCATAAATTCATTGGGAATTAAGATTTAGCAGCATTGAACATTGTGGACTTGTTGATTAGGTGAGGATCCTGTATCTGCCCATAACAGATATCCTGAGTTATGGGCCAGAATAAACCGGGAGTTTGTAGAAGAATGGAAATCTACTCACTTTTCAGAGGATAAAGACACAGAAGAGACTTTGGTATTCTTCATGAGGGCTGGTTTTAGGGAGAGTCCTAAATGGAGTATGCTCTTTTGGGAAGGTGACCAGATGGTAAGCTGGCAGGCTAATGATGGAATCAAGAGTGCTGTTGTAGGCTTGCTTAGTAGTGGACTCTCTGGATATGCCCTTAATCATAGTGATATTGGAGGCTACTGTGCAGTACCTATTATTAAGTATCAGAGGAGTGAAGAGTTGCTTTTGCGGTGGATGGAGCTAAATGCCTTCACTACAGTTTTCAGAACCCATGAAGTATGTAAAAATTGTCATGTCTAACTTAACAGGACAATATACTAAATTGCATAATCATGGTTAAATAGGTTAGTGTGCACAAATGAAGATTTTCCGAAAAATAAGATGAATGTCTTAAATTATTTCCATGAAACCATTTAGGTTCGATATCACAAGAAAATACTCCCACAAGTTGAATTTGAAATCTTCAAAATTGAGATTTTGCTTCATTTTGACGAATTTCAAAAGATATTAAACATATTTCTTTCTCAAACAGGGAAACAGACCATCTTCCAATAGGCAATTCTACTCAAATACTCACACCTTGTCACATTTTGCACGCTTTGCCAAAGTGTACAAGGCTTGGAAATTCTACAGGATTCAACTTGTCAAGGTGGTGTCCAGAATTTTTCAATGCCCATTTCTGTTTCGCTTCAAAGCCAAATTTGTGTCAAAGCTAATATAACCCCAGAATTATCCTTAATGGAGGATCTGACATACCCTCTGTTATTGGGTTCTCTTTTCTTTTTTTTTTCAACTCAGGAAGCTGCTCAGAAAGGACTGCCTGTTTGCCGTCATCTGTTCCTCCACTTTGCAAAGGATGAACGTGTTCATAGTTTGACTTATCAGCAATTCTTGGTTGGTACTGAGATCCTAGTGGTGCCTGTTCTCGACAAAGGCAAGAAGGTGGTTAAGGTCTATTTCCCATTAGGAGAAAGTTGCTCCTGGCAACACATTTGGACAGGAAAACAATTTGACAGACAAGGATCTGAAATCTCTGTAGAGGCTCCAGTTGGCTACCCAGCCATATTTGTGAAGTCAGGTTCTCCTATAGGAAAAACCTTTCTGAAAAATTTGAGTGACCTTGGTGTTCTTTAACAGCAGTTCAATGAAACCCCTGATCTGGAGTATTTGGGAGTCACAAATCCTTTTGATCATCTGGGAACCTGCATTCATTCTTCCATCCAAATTCAACTTGCAATCTCTACAGGTGCGAATACCATCAACAAAGTGATAAAACCAATACTACTTATTTCTTTCTGCAACTTTGGATGTAGATTTGGTTTCCCTATGAAGGCATATATGTACTCTCAAGTGCTCGATGATCTTTAAAATGGGTGGTAGATGTTCACCAATCAACCGAAAACTACAGCCGGATTCTCATTGTGTTCACAGTGGCAATGCTAGTAGTCTTCCTCCACAACTTGCAGCACAAAGTTGGTTTAGAGATGTACCTTGTTGCTTTGACCTCAGAAGATATTCCCACTAGACAGACTTGAAATGCATCCATGGCTGTAAAATCTTCAGCAACACAATGTTGGTTGCTTCCTTGGTTTTGGTGATGGGAAGATGTAAATTTTAACAATGTAATAGTGTAAAACTTGTAACAGGAATTCATATTAAGAGTGTAACATTGTCTCCGATTGTACACATTTTGTAAAGAATTGAAGAATTCTGTCTTTGGAAACTAGTCAGTTCCATGCTACAAACTTGCAACAGGTTGAATAGCCTGCAACTTCATCTCATAGACAAGCTGAATGTTGCCCTTGCAGCAACTTCTCCATGCACAACTGTTGAGCATTTTCATCCCAACATATCAAATTCTTCTCCTTCCGTTAAATTTCAGAGCTAACAACCGTCGAATCTGAGCATTTGTAAAAAAAAAAAGTTCCATAAGGAAATTGTAATGGGCAGATTTTTACTAATAAAAAACTGACGCATTAAAAGAGAGCCAAGTTGAGGTAGGCTGAAACAAAGTGATGGCATTAGAATGTAATTTGATCCTTTCAACTACCCCCTTTCTTAAAAAAACTGATAGGCCTTGAATTCTTGCTGAGTGTCAATGGGTTCACTCTCTTCACAGTGGGCATGTCTGAGGCACACATAACCTACTAGATTGAAAAAGAATGCCTAAGGTATCTAGTGTGAGTGAAATTTGCTGAAAACATTTTCATCCAACATGGTATCAAACTTCATGTAACTTATTTTAGAGTAGATATTGTAAGATCCAGCTGCCAAAAAATGCACAGAATTTCATTCTAAAAAAAAAAGCAATCAAACGAGTGTAAATTTTAGAACCTCATTCGTTTTTTTTTTTTTATCTCAAATGCTAATAGATCTAGACAAGGATCATGACCATAAAATAGGACAATCTTCTGGTCTCTCTGTAGCTGGCACCTTTGCTATCTTCTGGTCTATTGGGGGGCCAATGGCCGCCTTCTAGGATCATTCTTGGATCCACTATGGTAACCATGCGGTCAATAGAGGCAGTACAAGTTGGGATGGATTAACCCAGTCCAATGACTTCGTTTTGAGTTGGGATTGGGTTCTTCACTTCTGTTTTTATGTTTCTCTGTTAAAATATTCTTATTTCTTAGACTTGAGGATTTATGGATTAATATTTTCTGTTAACTATTCTTCACTTCTATTGTATCAGACCTTTTTGTTTTTGGTACCATACATATCAATATATACAAATTTGAAGACATGTCATGTTTATGTTTGGGTTGCCCAACGCCTCAATCCTAACCCAACCCGATCTAACTCTTTTGGGTTGTGTTTGGACTAACCTGGCCCAAGTTGCACCTAGAGATGTAGTAATGTGGGGATGACACAACCTACCTTTACAGGCCGCCCAGCATGGCTTGTATCGGCCCGTATCGGCTGATGTATATCGTGCTGGTGGCTTCCCAATATGCCCCTATAGGGGTTGTATTGGGTTAACCACTGGTTCAGAGGGTAGCCGGGCCTTAAACCGGTCCCTCTGAACCAATTTCGAAAAAAATAAGTGAAAAATAAAAAAAGCACCGATACAAGTCGATACACCAGTAGGGCGTATCGACCCGTGTCAATATTTAGAACCTTGGCCTGCAGGGCCTGGGCCAAGCCATGGAGATGATTCTATTTTTGCTAAGTAAAAAATGATAAACATTTTGGAAAAAAAATTAACAAAATACAAAATAGATAAAAAATTGAAATGAAAATTAAAAAAATTATTTTATTCGAATTTAATGTATACAATTGATCATATATGAAGTAATAAAATTAAATTGAAAAAATTACAAGAAAATTGGAATAAAAGAATATAATAAAATTGAAAATAAATACATTGGGATTAAAAAAAACACAAATAACAATTAAGTAAAATTGAAAAAAATACAATAACTTTAAAAATATTGTACAATTATTGAATATTCAAAAACATTGACTTCAATATTTTCTTCAATTTCAAGTTGGACCTCCTCCATCTCCTTGATCTTGACCTACATCATCTGCATCTAATAAACTATCAATGAAGTGTCATGTCCTCCTTGATTTTGCAATATGTCTTTTGCATCCATTCAATCTTTTAAACATATGCACATCTCCAAGCTTTAGTCATTCATGTAGTTTCTCTTGTTGTCCAATGCATGCACTAAAACAAGACTCTACTGGAACTATGGACACCAGAGAGGTTAGTAGATCACATGCTATAGTGGCAAGTGTTAGATATTTTTTTTTCATGTTCTTTTATCACGTTAAAATATCAAATTATATAATTTCTTAGAGGTGAGAAAATCTATTAAATTAATATGTAAATAAAAATGAAGTTCTGTAAATGAACTTATTGATGAAGTTGCAACTGATTGTTGCCTTTCATTTATTAAGGACCAAACTTTATCTATTCCACAATTCTGGTAGTAGAGGTTGTACAAGTTCTCTTATGTCCTAATGTTTGTGATTCATATATATTATACATTTTGAATAATAAATTTTTAACTTCGTCTTTTTTTTTGTTCTGATATCAATTTCCATATTTTCATAATATGATTCAAATAAAATATAGACACCATCTTTTTAATCCTAGAATCTAATATTGTAGCTAAGCAAATATAAAAAAGAAATATTTTTCCAATATTTTTTAAGTTTAATTTTCATTGCATCAACAATATTTTTAAATTTTAAATCATTTCAATATTTTACAAAAGATTCACTAATTATAAACAATTGATTAACTAAAAGATAAGATGTTAGGTAATAAACACCCAAAATATATTAAATTTTTTGCTACTTTTACATCCTTAGGAATCTAGGGTGTGTCCTTTGTAAGTTTTTTCTTGTTGAAAGATTTCCTCCCTTTGGGCTTGGCAAAAATAATATCCCTCTAATAGTTCTTGAATGAGGACATTGTTTGCACAATTGCACCCTTCTTATGAGTAGCTCTAATAAACCTTTCAACAATATTGGCATTAGCAAAGACATATATCATTAGAGCAAGCAAATTGCAGAGCTGAAACCACCACCTTTCTCCCTTCCATTCTCCTTCTTTCATACCAAGACCCAAGTCAACCCATGACTTTCTCGGTCTCTCCTTCTATATATCTCTACTTGCTCAATCAGTAGTCATCCCCTAACAATCCTGTGCCCCGTGTCCCAAAAATGCAGTTGTATCATAAAAAAGTTATAAAAATTTTTTTTTACAAGTTGTCACCATTAGTTATAAAATAATGCGACATTTTCTGATTATAGTAAGGATGTCTTTATATGAAATATAACTATCTAACATAATATACGTAGAATTCCACTTTTATTGAACATCTAATACAATTTTTTTATATTTTATTCAACATTTTTTATATAAATATTTAAATTTTTATTTTTTTTTATTTTAAAAGTATGAAATATATTTTCATTTAAAAACGATTTTAGTAGAGACTTTAAAATATTTACAATTGAATCATTATTACTAGAATTATCAAACCTAATAGAAAAAATTTTATTTTAAATACCACAAGTATGTAAAATTACTTGAAATAATTGCTAGGCTAGTATGTTGCCATTTAAGTCTTGTAAAACATAAAATTCCTTTTTTGTAAAAAGCCATGATTTGTTAATAAATACTTATGATACAAATATAACTAATATTAAATTTGGAAAACCAAATATTAAATGTAAGTGGAATTTTAGAATTAAGACTTGACAAAGTAGAAATTAAATTTTGTTTATATAAATAAAAAAAATTTAGTGCATCTGCCTCTAATAGTATTTCTAAAAGCATTTTTAAATTGGGGATTTATAAATTATAGTAAAAAATTTTCAAGCATAGGGTCTTTAGCTAATAAAAACAGTTGTTCAACATGTACTATATAAGCGTTTGCCTCATTTTTTTTTCTTGTGAATATTCAAAATTATCACAAAGTCCACACCTAATTTGTGATTAATTTTCATTATTTTTTCTCAAGTGATTGGCTCTGTCTATAGCCAAATGGCCAATACCATCTTTGTAAACAATTTTTTTTTCCTTTCTCTTAATATTTTTTATATTAAACATATTCCAAACTTCGCCGATCTTCCTCTTGCCACCCTTAGCACTAGTAGTGGAGGTGGCTTCATCAACAATGGTACCATTGACATACATATTGGTGCTATCGTACTGTGACGGGATATCATTGAATCCAAAGTTGTAGGAAAAGAGATTTTGAGATGAACCAACCATTTTGAAAAATTTAAAATATTAAAACCCTAAAAATGAAAATTAATTACCACTTATCTTGTCCAATAGTCCGGAATCCTAACTTGATTTCAACTGATGAAACTTCTAATTAAGCCTCCTAAATTACTAACTTGAGACACTTGAACAATTCTTTTCCTTTTTGAAACTTGAATAAATTTGAGAATTAGGGATTAGGGAGCAAGAGAGGGTATGAGTGTATGATAGTATGTGAGAATATATGATATATGAGTATATAAAAGTACAAGAATTGGTATGATGAGAATGAAAGAGGGTAAGGGTATTTAATATTTATAGGAGATAGAAATAATTAAATTGACCAAAATACCTTAAAAACTAGTCATTTTTTAGTTATTGAGAGGGATATTTTGGCTTTTCACAAAGGTGCTTATCACTTTAACAAGATGCCCCTAAATTAACTATTATATAACTTTTGGGGGTCATTTTAAGTTATTTTTCCTCCCCTAAGACCAAAATACACAAATACTCTTAAACTAATTGTTTATAGCTTTTAGGGGTACTTCTGTAAAAAAAATCCCTAACAAAGTGAACCCCAACGACTGTGTTATTTGGGTGGGCCCGACACATGCCAACTTCATGTTGTGCCATGTCGGCTTGTGGGCCTCAAGCATCAAGCCTGACATGACACGGGGGTATCGGCCAGGCCTGGAACGGTTCAATTGTTATAGTGATTGGGTCGTTCCTGGCCCAACCTATATTGTGATGGGTTGTGCTGGCCCAAAGGCAGCCCGATCACTTTACAGCTATAGTTGCAACCCTAGACTCTAGTAGTTGTGCCATCTCTTAGGCTTGGTTTTGTTGTCATAGAAGTGAGAAAATGAAAGAATTTTTTTCTCAAGACTACTTTGGGAAGAATGCAAATGTCGATTTAGTGCATATACACATTGTGCTTCAATTTTGCTAGTGTTTGGTAAGATTGCATTTATATAATAAAAGTGGTAGCTTTCACAAATTTAAAGGCATGTTGGCATCCAATCTCAAAGTTAATCGATGTTAAAAATAGTATATTTCAATATTAAGATTCATGTTTGCACCTGTTACAACTAAAATCATTTGGCAAGAAAGTAAATTTATCAATGCAAATATTCATGACTCTTCAAGTTTTCTTTCAAATGGTGGATATTTTCTTTTGATAAAATTATTTGAAAATACAAGAAATTTGAATGTAAAGTGCAAGATGAATGGATGATACCCACCAATTGTTACTTTTTCAAAGAACAACTTTAAGAAAATAAAAACTTTCTTTTTTTTGCCAATTTTCTTTCATTTTTTCTCACTTTTAGCAACCAAATGGAGTCCTATGGAACACATTTTCAAAGACTTCATTGTCTGTGGTCGTTATCACTTGGACACCCACCAAGTGAACATTGGCAAACAAGAGGCTCACTTTTGCCTTCCATCTCCTTCAATTTCTCCCTTTTTCCTACTTTACCAACAAAGAAGACCACTTGCTTTGCAGTACTCATGGCGTGGCCCGCCTGGACCGGTGCAATGAAGCAAAGCAATTTAAAGATCAAACTTTGTTCGAACCTGTCACCCCCTCTTCCCTCAATGTCTCTTTCAGCAAAGCTACATACAACCCATCTATAAGCTACCAAACTTACCTTTAAATCCTCTCTCTCTCTCTCATATTACTGTGCCTGGTTTTTGTTTCTTTCTTCGACCCCATTAGAAACCCACTATGGATTCTACAGATTTTACAGCATTACCACTACCTGAAGAGCTGAAGTTCTTCCTATATGATTCCTGCAACTCAGAGTTACCCTTCACCAGCAATCCTCAGGTAAGCTTGAATTTAGATTCCAGTCCTATAAACAGTGCAGTTTTCAGTTTGGATCCCATGGTCTCTTTTGAAGATTTGGATTTTCTTGAAACCCAATTGGATTTTAGAAGTAATGCCGATTCAACTCAAGATTTGATTTTCCCGGAAAATGAGAATGTGGGTTTTAATGGGTTCTCTGAGTTCAATCTCATACCTCAAAACCCAATTCAGCAACCCCATATTGAAGATCAGCCGACGAAGGCCGGCAAAAACAAGGATGAAATTCCCACGGTACCGGTTGAACTAATACAGAACAAAAGGCCATTCAAGTGCTCCCAGCTTGGCTGTGACAAGACATTCAAGAATCCACAGACCCTCAAAATCCACCAGAGGACCCACTGCACCGACGAACCCACCATTGTTTCCCGGCAACTGAAAGCTGGGCAGAACAAGAAAGTCCCATGCAGGTGTCCTTTATGTGGCCGCAGCTTCGTGGGTCTCTATGAACTTCGCCGGCATTTTGGCCGGAAGCACTCAGAGGGGGAGAAGTTGTACAACTGCAGGAAATGTGGGAAGAAATTTTATGTGGAAGTGGATTTAAGGGACCATGAGAAGCTGTGTGGAGAGCGCGTTGGATGCAAATGTGGGTTGAAATTCGCCTTCAAATGTAACCTCTCAGCTCATAAGAGAACCCACCCAGAATGCGTGGAAGCACCAGCCAAAGGTTTGGGCTCAAGCAGCTCTCCAAAGGGTTCGAGTTCAAATGGGTTGATCGGTGGGAAGTTGGAAAAGATCTTGGGTCTTGGTTCTCGTGGAGCTCGGCGTAGCTTTGCAACCCATGACACTGTGAACAAATAGTTGTTGCCACATGCATGAGGAAGATTAATTGGCTTTTTAGGTTTCTTTGCACTTCTTTTTGGCACTTTTCTTGGGCAAGTAGTTGTTCCTTACTCTTATCAAGTGAACGCTTCCCTGATTTCAGAGTTTGTGGAAGCCTGAGCCTGTACCTTGTTTGTAGGGAAGATTTTTCATTTAAATGCAAATCAATTAATATTATTCTAACTTTCAATGTGACTGCAAAGATTTCCAACTTGGATTGTAGTTCTTAATCTTGGCAGGGTTCAGTTGGATTTTCTGTGGCCTCTGAGAAACCAATTCAGTTCTGCACCTTATGGGGGTCTCTTGCTTGGCCACAGTACCAGTTCCCAACTAGTCAACCTGTCATACCAACCACTTAAGATACTCAGGATTCATTCAATGGAATGCAGAAGGATAAATCATGGAGCATGACAAGTCTTAACCAACTTATTATGATGTGATCCCTCGAAAAACCAATGAACCGATCAGTTCACGATTTCTAGCATTAGCATGAGCTGACCTGTTTGTATAACAGCTTTGTTGGCCATACAATAATCCCATGAAATTGTTGCAAGAGGCTGAGTTTCAAGAGTATTACAGCTGCAGAGCAGGGTGGCATTTATTTATTTATTTTTTAAGAACCACTTGTTTGCATACTTTCATTAACAGCATCCTAGGTGCCTGTAATTGATATTGACTATTGAATGCTAAAATATTATAACCCAGAAGTGCCCAAGCTAAGGTCAACTTGGCCAGATTTGCAGAGGCTTCAGCGTGAAAATTGCCTCATGAGAAGGATTCAAAGGAGATATATGGTCCTTCAGATCCCTGTCACATGCAAAAATCTCCTCTAATTTGTTTGTCTGTAAAGTATAGGAACTGAAGGAAGGCAGCTTCTTGCATGGGGACAGAAGACCCACATACAAACTTTATCACAAAGTACTTCTCTACATCCATATCAGCATTTGTTAGCATGAAAGGGGTATGGTAACGAAGGTCTCCTCTTTCAAGATAGTCATCCTGAGATGGATTTGTAAGAATTTTAGTGGTTAAAGGAACAGGCAAGCATAAACCAAGCTAATCTTTAGTCTATCCAAGAGCAAGAAGAAAACTCAGTTCTTTGTTCTTCTGGATGGCTATCTCATCCTTTCCCCATTGTGTTCCCAATTTCACACCTTGGGGTGGAGAATGACTTGCAATAAAATGCTTCTAAGATATGATTTAGATACATCAAGATCAAAAAAAAAAAGATCACAAAAAGGAAGGAAAACACGTCCTACATTTATCAGTAAAACCTAGATGTTTGCCCCATAGTTATAATGGTTCAACAAGGTAACCCATCACCTAAAACAGAGAAGAGAAGGGGAAAAGACTATGAAGGTTCCTGCTGGCTTAGCTGGTAAAGTTGGTGGCTGTAATTTCCATTGGCCTGGGATCTGTCCACCTTCAGCGTTCCCAAACAAAATAAGGCAATGATCCTAAAGATAATGATTACAGTTCCCCATTCATTGAAGCACATGAATTTGATACATGATAAATCAATCATGTAATGCGGTTGCTGAATCTTCTGTGTCAAAACAATAAATTCAAAAAAGAAATTAATGGCAGGCATGACTAGTTCTTTGTATTTATACATTAGATAAGCGGGATATATATGGATAAGTAAATATTCTAGAGTCATTTTTTTCCAATAACTGTCTACAACCTAAACTCCACAACCTTAAACATTTTTTCTGGTTCCCATGTTCTAACTAAAATCAACTCCATGATAATACCTCTATCTTCTCCATAATAATTTCTCTAACCCAATTCCAGCAGTATCATCCTTGTTAGAAATGTTGGCAATGCTAATAGGAACCTGATTTTCTACCAAACTTGGCCAAAGTTCAGCTGGAGGCTCTTGAAAATCAGGTCCTCTAAACAAACATAAAAATAATACTCCCCAGAAGAACGTAGCTTTCGTTTCACTGGAACTTCTCAACTAACAACATAATGCCTCATGGGAATGATCATTTTTCTATGTGCCCTATTGTGTTTCCTTGTTCATTGCCATCTTTTATTCTGTTTAATTCTGCCTTTTTCATTCGTATGTTGTTGTCAATTACTTTGCATTTTGTAGCCAGTCAGAAAATAGTAGATTATGCTGATTAACAGGATGGAACTTAGAGGCTTGTATAAGCTTGCATGTAATCATAATAAGTCAATAGCTGCTTCTGTGATGGGTAGTGCAAAGTACATTTAGAATAGTTTTCAGGATTCAATAAGTAAGCTAAGACTTCTAACTAGAATGCAATATGAATAAATATCATTACATTGGTGTTTTTTCATTACACTAGCAGGAAAATTCTCAGAAAGACCTTTTCACTTTCATGTTTTTCATTTATATGCTTTTAGCAGGATACTCATGTGCACAGACTTGGATGATTTGAAGATCCTAGTAGTGCATGCCCACAGTAAGGCAAAACAAAGTTAAGACCAATCTCCAAATATTGACTAACATATTTGGTTAACAAGTCTATTTACTAGGCAAGGATTTGGAGCCTGGTCAGGGGCTTACAGTTGACTAGCTTGCTATATCTGTAGGGTCATTCTCCAATAGACTCCTTTCTTGGAATTGAAAAAATTAACCAAGATATCTTTATATTCTGGCATGTCATTCCATTCAAGTGCATGGGCCAAAGCAATTACGAAACCATAAATGATTTAGATGACAATGGGAACTTGTATTTTAGTATTTATTGAAAGCTCAAAAGAAAAACTAGCTTGCTACCAATAATCCCCACAAGAGCACATCCCATTTACAAAATGATGAAAGCGATAACTATCCCTCATTATAATCTCTCTGTCAGTTACTTTGGATATAAACTTGGTTGCAGAGTGACAATCCCCACATACTCTCAAATTTTTAATGATCCTCAAGGGTGTCCCAGGCAGTGTACTGATCAAACCAAAAGCTATAGCCAGTTTCTCACTGTGTTCACAGAGGCTGTACTCTTTCTCATCTTCCTCAACATCTTGCAGCACAAAGTTTGTGTCTGGAACATACCCAATTTCTTTGATCTCCGAGTATAAGCTTTCCATCTTGGCAGATATTGCATCCATTAATGGATGTGAAGTATCCCCAACAATGAAGCTGTGGACTCTACGTTTTACTTCAATCCAACTGCAGCCTGGAGGCTTTGTCACACCTCTTTCCTTCATCAAACGCCTTATTCTTGCTGCATCTTCCCACCTCCCTGCTGCAGAGTAGATGTTGGCTAGAAGTATGTAATTCCCAGAATTTTGGGGCTCAAGTTCAAATAGATACCCTGCAGCATACTCTGCAAGCTCAGGGTTACAATGAATCCTACAAGCACCTAACAGTGAACCCCAGACAGCTGCATTTGGTTCTACTGGCATCTCTTTAATGAATTTCATGGTTTCATCAAACTGACCAGCACGTGCCATTAGGTCCACCATACAAGCATACTGCTCAACAGCAGGGTCAATGGCATATTCTGACTTCATCATCTCAAAGTACTGAAACCCTTCATCAATCAACCCTGAATGACTACATGCAGATAAAAGATTTGTAAAAGTATAATGGTTTGGAGTCAAGCCTGTGGCTCTCAAACAATGAAAAAGGTTCACAGCATCCACCCCAAAGCCATGCATTCCATACCCTGCAATCATTGTATTCCAAGAAACTAGGTCTTTTCGTGGCATAATATCAAAAATTTTTCGTGCTTTTCTAATTGACCCACATCGTCCATACATGTCAATAAGTGCATTCCATATAAAATTACTTCTATCAAGCTCATGCCTGATGATAAATTGGTGAATCTCTCTACCCTGTTGCAAAGCTGCCAACCTTGAGCAAGCAGGGAGGGCTGAAACAATCGTCACCATGTTTGGCTTCACATTATTGAACTGCATTTCTCTCAACATGTTCAAAGCAGTAACCCCTTGCCCAGCCTGAGCACAAGCTGTAATAATTGAGTTCCAGATAACAACATCTCTTTCTGTCAGCTGATTGAAAACAGAACAGGCAAGTTCCAAGAGACCACATCCTGAGTACATTGATATAAGAGCACTTCCCACACCCGTAGACATTTCAATGTGGTTTCTAATAACAAAACCATGGATTTCCTTTCCTAAATTAAAATCTTTGACTTGGCCACAAGCTGCTAGAGCTCCAGAAACAGTAATTGTGTCAGGCTCCACGCCAGTGTTATACATTTTATGGAAGAACTGAAGAGCAATCCTTCCATCTCCATACTGGGTATAACCTGTAACGAGGCCATTCCATGTAACAATGTCAGGCTCAACCCCCTGCAATTCCATCTCACTAAGAAGTTGAACAGCTTCCTCATGGCAACCTCTCAATGCATAACCAGCAAGCATCACATTCCAAGATATCAAATCCTTCTGCTTGATTCTTTTGAATATTCTACTGGCAACCTCCAAAGCTTGGCATTTAGTATACAAATCTACCAATGAATTTCCCACGAGTACATCTGAGTCCAGTTCCTCTCTTTTTATGCAATAACCATGGATCTCTTTACCATGTCGAAGCAAAAGCAAATTTGTACAGGCTGAAACAACACTGGCAATGGTAATTGAGTTTGGTTTCACCCCTTCAACCACCATCTGCCTGAAAACATGCAATGCTTGAGAAGAACAACCATTCTGTTCATTCCCTGCTATCAGTGCAGTCCAAGACACCACATTTGGCTTAAAGTCTTCTAAAGCCTGCATCTCTGAGAAGCAATTGGAAGCCTCTTCAAATTGGCCATTTTGGGCATACCCCGCAATAATTGAATTCCATGTCACTCGGTCAGGCTTTACCCCTGCAAGTTTCATTTCCTCAAAACACTTTAAAGCTTGTTTGAAGTCCCCTTTCGAGGCATAACCTGAAATCATCATGTTCCACATCACAACATCCTTAAACTCCATTTCATTGAACAAACGTCTAGCTAAATCAAGCTTTCCACATTTTATGAGCATATCAAGAAGAGATTTGATCACAAAAGGATTCCCCTGAAACCCAATTCTCAGCATGTGATCGTACACATCCTTCCCCACTTGATAATTCTTCAACTCAGAGCATGCTTTAAAAACCTTGGGAAAGATGTAGTGATCCGGTTGAATTCCTTCGTCAATCATTAAATAGAATAACCTTATTGTCTCTTCGTAATCGCCTAATCTACAATACAACCCGATCAATGAAGTCCAGCTGAAAACATTTCGTTCCCACATTTTATCAAACAATCGCCTCGCGTCATCAGTACGACCAAGCTTGCAATAAAATTCAAGCAGTTGGCTCCCAAGAAATGCACAGAGCTCCACTCCAGAAACAATCATATGGGCATGAATTTGAAACCCCAATTCAGCTTTATCAAACTTCCGACAGTTTTGGAGGATTAAAGCATAAGTTTCAGAGCATTCCTCTGTATCACTTAAATCCATGGAATGAAGCACAACGGAAACATTATCCAACACCCCCATATCGGGAACTGAACTGAATTCTCTTACATGTCTGTCATTGCTATTACGTGTACTCGTCATTTTCCGAATATTTTCGAAATATTTAACAGTTGAAGAAGAGACTAAGGTGCGCCATTTTATGCTCGGAAGAAGAAGAACAGGGGAGCTGGGGGGGCTTACCTTGACGGGTATCTCCAAACTGGGATGAAGAGCACATTGTGCTGCCATTTCTGATTTCTGGGTTCATCAATCCATGACCATGAGGTATCTATCTGGAATCCGGCTTCGGAGTGTCGTGTGTAAATAGATAGATATCTGCAGCAGACAGTAGGCAAACTCATGTGAACGGCCTTCTCTGGCTCAATAAGATATTTTTTCAGTCGAGAGAGTGCTACCAAACAATGCGGAAGATTATCTAAATGGCTTTATTGATCCATTTAATTAAGGGTCGGAAAATTATTTTATTTAATTGAGGATCGGACCGTGGGACAAGGGGTTCACGAAACCATCCGAATTGAACCGTCAAGACCACACTGAATAGAGCAGAGTATGGAAAAAAAAATAATAAAAAATTGTTAATTATTTAGGCTGCGTTTGGAAACAATGCAAATAAATTGTAAATTCCGGTTCAGGGTAAATTTGCATTTTGGTTCATATTGACAAATGACAGACCAATGCATATTTATATTGATACTAAGATGTAAAAGTATATCAATAAAAGAGAAGTAAATTTATATTCAAATGAGCTTTTGATAAAAAAAAGGATATGCTTTATTGGAATTCATGTTTTCATTCATTACAGTTAAAAGTCTATTTCGTAAGAAAATAAAATTATCAGTGCAAAACTAACCCAATTTTGCAATTTATATGAACTGTTTTATACTCTATATATTTGCATCGTTTCCAAATACAGCCTTAAGGTCGTAGTTAGTTTAAAAGAAAATGCTGTATAGGCTTTTCTTCTTTTCCTCTTTTCCTTACTTTTTTTTTCTTTTGAAATCTTTTACCCCACTTACAAATTTTATTTTACCGTATAGTTGAGGGTATGGTGCCAAAAATGGGGGTGTTGAAAGTTCAAATTATTGTTAACTAACAGGTGACTTAGATTGGGAGGGAGTGCCCTGCTCACGAATCTTTTTCTTGTTTTTTAATCTTAGACCGGGAGATTTTTTTATTTTAATTTTTTATGGTTAATTATTTTTTGGATGTTATTGGCTTTTGATTTCGAGGATAATGAAGGCAGTATTAGTAGAATTGATCCCTTAAACTAGCCAACAATGGAGGGTAATTTCTCTTGTTATCATTTAGTCCCTGTTCGCTTTTTGTAAGTTGCTTACCCGGCTAAATTTAGTTACCTAGGTAAGTTTTTCTTGGGAAACACTTACCTGGGTAAGTGCATTGACCCATGTTCTTTTATTTCTTATGTAAATAAGGTAATGACCATTTTAGTCGCATAAAACTTTCCCGAGTAAATGGTACCCAGGAAAATAAACTTTCTCTGCTCTCCACATAAAACTGAAAAAAGAACATGGGATTCTTGGTCAATGGTGTTAGATAGTTTTGTATGCCCTTAGCTTCAATCA